CTGCCCTCTGACCAGGGGCTGTTTGTGTCTGTCCTGCAACCCGAGCGGCCCGTCAGCATTCTGTGTCTGGCTGGCTGGCCTGTGGCCCGTCTGTCCATGTCTGTCCTAAGGTGTCTGTGGTTAATTTGTGACCTAGCATGTCTGTGGCAGGTGTGGAAGGAGAGCCTCTAGTGAGTTCGCAGAGTGAACAGAGCCCTCTGGAGCCACAGGATCCTGAAGCTCCCAGCTCCTCAGGCCCAGGGCAGCTAGTGGGCCTGGGCAAGGCTAGCAGGGCCCCCGTGGAACCTGGTGTGAGCCAGTCAGATGCAGAGAATGCAGCACCCTCCTGCCAGGATGAGCCTGACGCCCCGCCCCGCCGCCGTGGTCGACCCTCTAGGCACTTCTTAGGCAAGAAATACCGCAAGTACGTGGAGCATGCATGGAGTGGGCGGCCAGGCCACTGGTGGCCCCCGGGGCCCCCAACCCAGCCAGATGTCTTGCGACACTCTCCCGGCAGGTACTATTACAAGTCGCCCAAACCACTTCTGAGGCCCTTCCTGTGCCGCATCTGTGGCTCTCGCTTCCTGTCCCACGAGGACCTGCGCTTCCACGTCAGCTCCCACGAGGCCGGCGACCCCCAGCTCTTCAAGTGCCTGCAGTGCAGCTATCGCTCTCGCCGCTGGTCCTCGCTCAAGGTGCGGCAGCCTGGAGGCCTGGGTCACCGGGGAGGACGAGGGGAAGGCGGGCAAAGCCAACAGGTGGTGGTGAGGGAGGATGGAGTTACTGGCGCATCCACGTCACCCCTCCTCCGCAGGGCACGAGTCTGGCCCACTAGCATACCGAAGGGTGCTTAGCTTGCCAGGCCCTGCAGGAACATGCAGAGGGGGTCTGGGAAGGGCTGCCACGCACGATGGCACTGCACTGTGTGGACGTCACAGATCTGCTTGTTCACCACCGCCTACTGCCAGACAGCTGGAAAGCTCTGGTTTCCTCCCATTCCGTATGTTGGAAAGCTTTCCAGCAGGTGGCAGTAACGTGACTCAAGAACAGGGCTCCTTTTTCTCCTCAGCCCAGAGGTGCTGTGGGGTCCTGCAGCAGCCCTGAGCATGTGTCTTATCCCGCACCTGGATAATTTCATCCTCCTGCAGCCCAATGAGGTTGTAGGTATTGATAGTCCCATTTTACTACCCAAGAAACTGCAGTGTGGCCTGGCTAATGTGCAAGTTGGTGGTTGAGTGGGGGAGTCAGAGCCCTGTGCTTTGTGCACACTGCTCTGGCTAATCTGAGTTCCACAGGGAAGATGCCCTTAGCGCAGTAAGGGGGTGTAGGCTGTGGAGCCAGCTCCAAGCTCTGCCACCTACAAGGTCCCTTCACCCTGAGCCTCAGTTTCCTTCTTTGTCAAATGGTGAGCCCATCAGAGAGCCTGGCAGGGTGGATGCCCTTGCTGGGGAGAGTCCCCGGCCTTTACAGGCCTCAGCCTTGCCCTAGGGTCTGCCATCCGCTCCTTCGTTCTCTGAGCCTGCTCCTGGAGCAAGCCTAAGGCCCCAGGCACAGGCAGGGGATGGGCAGCAGGGAAACCCTAGGCCCAGCCTACTCTCCTTTTGCCTTTCTCCCAGGAGCACATGTTCAACCACGTGGGCAGCAAGCCCTACAAGTGTGATGAGTGCAGCTATACCAGTGTCTACCGGAAGGATGTCATCCGGCACGCGGCCGTACATAGCCGGGACCGGTCAGTGGGTGGGCGGGTTGGGGCAGGGCAGGCCGGTGGAGTGGGAAAGCAGAGGCCCGGGATGACCAGGATTCCTTCTTCCTGAGCACCTGCTCTGGGCCAGCCCCCTTCGCTGCACTATGCAGACGTGATCAGAAAAGCAAGGTGACTCACTCCAGATTGCATGGCTGAGGACAGGCAGTAGCAGGGTTTTGAGGTCCCCAATTCAGTCTCTTCCCTGCTGTGAACTTTAGTTCTCATCTGTAAAGTGGCGGCAGTTGAGGAGATTGAAGGAAACTGTGTACCTAAAGGGGCGAGTTAGCTTTAGGGGGGTGGTGTGTGAGCAGAGGTTGGATTCAGAGATCCTCTAGGACAGTGACTCAAACTGTGTTTGTGGAAAATCCAACTCTACAAGATGGCTTATAGGGTTTCTTTTTCTTTTTTTTTTTTTTAGAAAAAAGTTCTGTGGTCAAATAAGATTAGGGTTACCAGGTTGAATACCTGTTCAACAGCTGTTTTTCCTGCAAGAGTTCTTAGAGCTTTCAACATGCGAATACATTTTGTGATTGAGAGAAAGAACGCACCATTTCCCAAATGTAGCGGAGTACAGGATGTTACTTACTGCATGTCTCTTAGCATTTTCCCCAGTTGACTCCAGCTGGGGAAACACTTCAGAGAGAGGGCCTTAGGCGGGGCATAGGGGTGCTCAGGGCTGAGACAGTATGCATGGTCAATATGAGAGGGTCTAGGGTGGGCTTGGGGAAGCTGTGGTCTAATTCCTGGGCCTTTTTCCCCCAGGAAGAAGAGGCCAGATCCGGTGAGTCTGGGGCACCTGCCTGGGAAGGGAGCCTGCCTGGGGGCTGCCTACGGGGGTGGGGCAGGAAGGGAGGACTCACCTTCCCTCCCCTCTTCTCACTCTATCTGGCCCTTTCTGTGCCTTCCCAGACCCCAAAGCTGAGCTCTTTCCCCTGCCCCGTGTGTGGCCGTGTGTACCCCATGCAGAAGAGACTCACACAGCACATGAAGACGCACAGCACTGAGAAGCCCCACATGTGTGACAAGGTGGGTAGGGGTTGAGAGCCAGGCTAAGGGTGGGGGTAAGGGCCCCGAGTGAACCCCCCCATCTAACTGCACCCCACCCCTCACAGTGTGGAAAGTCCTTTAAGAAGCGCTACACGTTCAAAATGCACCTGCTCACGCACATCCAGGCCGTTGCCAACCGCAGGTACATCCCTAGGCGGCCCCTGGGCATGGGAGCACCCCCTGCCTGTCACTGAGCCTCCCTCCTCCTGACTGCCTCCAGGTTCAAGTGTGAGTTCTGCGAGTTTGTTTGTGAGGACAAGAAGGCACTGTTGAACCACCAGCTGTCCCACGTCAGTGATAAGCCCTTCAAATGCAGCTTTTGTCCCTACCGCACCTTCCGAGAGGACTTCCTGCTGTCCCATGTGGCTGTCAAGCACACAGGTCAGGCCCAGCACACCCAGCCCCACCCTACCACTCTTAAGCTCCCTACACCCCCCCATTGGAGGCTCAGCTCTCGTCCCTGTCCTTGCCCCTCTGCGGCCTCAGCCATAGGAACAGCCCAAGTCCTTCATGTGTACAGAGAGTTTCCTGTGTGTCTGTTTACTCTGACTGGAGTGAATTCCTGCTCAGCTTGCCACTCTCTGGATGGCTCTGGGCCGGTCGTTTGCCCTCTCTGAGCCTTCCGTAGTTGTGAAATGGGGAAATGAGAAGTGCCTGCCATATGATTATTATGAAAGTGAGTTCCATGTGTTCCCTAAGCCCTGCGTGTGCTGAGCACTGGGGTTCATTTGCCCTTGGCGGGTGGAGCAGCTTGACCCACAGAAGCTGCCCAGCAAAAGCTGGTTCTCTGTCCTCCTTGGCACCACGCCCTCTGGTAGGCACACTAGGGAGAGCAGAAAAAGAAACCCAGGGGTTCCCTTAGCCATATCTCTGTCTACCTGGGGCAGATGATTCACAGGAAGAGCGTGTAGTCACATGACCTTGAAAATAGGCACTTGGCCGAGTGCAGTGGCTCACGCCTGTAGTCTCCATACTTTGGGAGTCCAGGTATTTGAGACTAGCTGGGGCAACATAGTGAAACCTCATCTCTACAAAAAATTTAAAAATTAGTTAGGGCCGGGGACAGTGGCTCACACCTGTAATCCTAGCACTCTGGGAGGCCGAGGCAAGAGGATCACTCAAGGTCAGGAGTTCGAAACCAGCCTGAGCAAGAGCGAGACCCCATCTCTACTAAAAAAATAGAAAGAAATTAATTGCCCAACTAAAAATATATAGAAAAAATTAGCTAGGCATTGTGGCACATGCCTGTAGTCCCAGCTACTCTGAAGGCTGAGGCAGAAGGGTTACTTGAGCCCGGGAGTTTGAAGTTGCTGTGAGCTAGGCTGATGCCACGGCACTCTAGCCCGGGCAACAGAGTGAGACTCTGTCTCAAAAAAAAAAAAAAAAAATTAGATATGGTGGTTTGTGCCTGTAGTCAGCTACTCAGGAGGATGAAGCAGGAGGATCACTTGAGCCCAGGGGTCTGAGGCTACAATGAGCTATGATCACACCACTGCACCCAGCCTGGGTGACAGAGTGAGACCTCGTCTCTGTAAAAAAAATAATAAAATGTAAAAAGGAAATAGGCACTTGCAGGAAGGTTGTGGGTGCAGAGGGTGGCTCTGATTCATCTCTGTCGTGGTCCACCAGAGTGCACACCGGCACGTGTTTCCCTAAGCACAGCACTGAATCACTTGAAGTGAGTCAGTCGGAGGGGTCCTTGGGGTCAGGGAAGGCTTCCCGGAGCCGGTGGGTGGACGCCAGCATGCCCTGACGTGTGCCTACAGGGGCCAAGCCCTTTGCCTGTGAGTACTGCCACTTCAGCACACGCCACAAGAAGAATCTACGCCTGCACGTTCGGTGCCGACATGCAAGCAGCTTCGAGGAATGGGGGCGGCGCCACCCCGAGGAGCCCCCGTCCCGCCGCCGCCCTTTCTTCTCTCTGCAGCAGATCGAGGAGCTGAGGCAGCAGCACAGTGTGGCCCCTGCGCTGCCTCCCAGCTCCCCAGGACCTCCGGAGGTAGGGGCAGCCGAGCAGGCGGCAGACAGAAGGGGTCGAGGGCGTGGGCCAGGGTGACGGTGATACCGCCTCTCCCAGCCCCAGCATCCTCATTTGCACATCGTGGTCCAACAAAATGTTCCCTGCCTCTCTAGGCTGTGGGAACGGCTAGCTGAGTCACAGATACTCCAGCCCTAATAGAGTAGGGGTGGCTTTCCGGTGCTGGTAATAGAGAATGGAAACACCAGTGGCTTAATTGTGATAGTGGTTTATTATTCTTGCCTACAGAAGAATTCCAGAGGTCAGTAGTCCAGGGCTGTAGCAGTTATGGAACTACTGTAGCAGTTCCATAATCATCAGGGTCCAAGCTCTCTCCAATATTTCTGCCCAGCCATCCTGGGCACATGACTTCCATCTCTGTAGTTGTCTCATGGTCTGGTATAGCTGCAGGAGCACCAGCTTCCTAGCCACATCCTAGGCAGGAAACAGGAGGAAGGGGTGGGGGAAGGACAAAAAGGATACCCGCCATCTGTCCATCTATATTCCTTGTGAACTTGCTTAGCCACATAGCTACACTTAATCTAGCTGCAAGGGAGGCTGAAAAATGCAGTCTTGTAGCTGGGTACATTGCCTCCATGATGAAAATCAGAGTTCTGTTAGCAAGAAAGAATGGGAGGATGGATTCAGGGTAGGTGGCTAGCTGTCTCTGCCACGTGAGCTGACACATTAGTCCCAGAAAGACAGACCATGGTGTGCTGGTGGAACTGAGGCTCTGGAGTCCGGCAGTATTGGGTTGAGTCCTAGCCCTGCTACTTATTAGGAGTGGGATCTTAGGCCAGCCACTTCACCTCTCTGAGCCTCAGTTGGTTCACCTGTAGCATCAAGCTGATATATCTTGAAAAATGAAACAAAGATGAAACAAACCAACAGATGTGAGATGCCCGACACATCAGAGGTGCTTGGGAAACGGCACTTGAATCTAGGCCGGCCTGTCTCAGGCATGGCCACTTCCCTACCCCAGATACCCCCAGAGGCAGCACCTTTCCAGTCACCTGAGACCCCCCCACTGCTCTGTTCTGACACCCTGGGCGGCACCACCATCATCTACCAGCAAGGTGAGCTCTGAGCAAGGGTGGGAGCTCCAGGAGCCGGGCAGGAGTAGGGCTACGCTGGTGGGGGCCTGAAGATGGGGGGGCAGCATTGGGTGCCAGTTTTCCAGCCCTTTGTCAGGCTCAGATCCCACCCTACCCAGGAGCTGAGGAGTCAGCTGCGATGGCCACACAGACAGCCTTGGATCTGCTGCTGAACATGAGTGCTCAGCGGGCCCTGGGGGGCACAGCCTTGCAGGTGAGCTATGCGGGCACCTCCCCCCCCACCCTGCTACCTTAGGTGCACAGCTCTGCGCCGGCCCTGGGAATAAAGAGCAATGAATCAGCGCTGCCCTGCTCTCAGTGAGCTCCATTAGCAGGAGAGAGCGAGCCACAGAAATCCAGTGGGCAAACGCAGAGGGAGACCAGCTATGCCAGGGAGGCCCCAGGAGGCCAAGGATGCTGTATGCACTGCTCCCCGTGGGTTCGGGGGCCCTGTCCTTGTTCGGTTTTCCTCCCAGCTCTGTGGTCACCCTGTGCCTGTGGGTGCCCCCACAGGGGTTTGAACTAGCTTCCCATCGGGTGCAGTGCCCTCCCTGGGTGACAACCTGAAGACACAACCTGAAGATGTCCAAGGATTAATCTATCGTAGTTCTCTCTCTTGAGCTCCAGTGGGCTTGGCACGTGCACCTCAAGCCTGACATGTCCTCCCCCAGAGTTCATCCCCTTTACTTCTCCTGTCCCCACTCAAGTGCCTGGGGTCATCTTCACACCTCCTTGCACATCCAGCCTGTCTCCAAGACGGGGAAGTTTATTTGTCTCGCATATGTCCCAGCCTCTTGAAAAGATGGAAAGTGTGTGTTTGAGAATATAAATTCCAAAAGCTTGGAGCAGTAACATGTTGCCAGGGGCCAGGGAAAGAGAAAACTCCATGAAGGGGCAGGGCTGGCATCACACCTGGAAATCTTCACATAATTCAGTTCATGGCTATAGGCAGGTATAGACAAGTTTTACATTTTTATATATTTATATTTTTTGAGACAGAGTCTTGCTCTGTTGTCCAGGCTAGAGCGCAGTGGCATCAGCCTAGCTCACAGCAACCTCAAACTCCTGTGCTCAAGCAATCCTTCTGCCTGAGCCTCCCTAGTAGCTGGGACTACAGGCATGCACCACCATGCCTGGGTAATTTTTTCTATTTTTAGTAGAGACCAGGTCTCGCTCTTGCTCAGGCTGGTCTCAAACTCCTGACCTTAAGTGATCCTTCCACCTTGGCCTGCCAGGGTGCTAGGATTACAGGTGTGAGCCACTGAGCCCGGCCTGCCCTATTCTTACTGGTCTATTTCCAGTTGCTGAGTGGGATTTCGAAAGCCAGAGTGTATTTTAGAAAAGGCTAGGGTTGTGTGAATGAGTGGCGGCGCACTGGGTCTGGCTGTTGTGGGTGAGCTTTGAGGCACTGAGATGGAGAAGGGTCTTGCACACCAGCTCCTCTGCCACAAACCCTGCCCACTGTGCCCACTGGTGCCGTTGCAGGTGGCTGTGGTGAAGTCGGAGGACGTGGAAGCAGGGTTGGCATCCCCTAGTGAGCAGCCCTCTCCCGAAGATGCCACACCACAGGTGGTAACCCTCCACGTGGCAGAGCCCGGGGGCAATATGGCAGCTGAAGGCCAGCTAGGCACCCCTGAACTACCGCAGATCACCCTGGCACCAGGTCCATTTGGTGGGGCTGGCTACAGTGTCATCACAGCACCTCCTATGGAGGAGGGGACATCAGCTCCCGGCACACCTTACAGGTGAGATGTGCTCCCTACAAGGCCCCTTTCAGCCTCATCTACTGTGTTTCCCCGAAAATAAGACCTACCCATAAAATAAGCCCTAGCAGGATTTCTAAGCATTTGTGCAATATAAGCCCTACCCCGAAAATGAGACCTAGTGATGGGTGTGGCTACGCAGCGTGTCTGCACAACCCATGCATTTCATCGCTGAGCGGTAAAGAAGACAAGCAGCCCTTCTCATCTGCCCCATCATGACAGCTACTATCCCAGAGGTGACCTGAAAGGTGCAGGCAGCCCCACCAACAAGGTTGGCTCCCCCTGTCAGGTCCCAGCCATCCTGTGCACGCTGCAAGCTGAGGCTTTGAGGGGAAAATAACACATCCCCTGAAAGTAAGCCCTAGGGTATCATCTTGAGGAAATATAAATATAAGACCCTGTCTTATATTTGGGGAAACACAGTAGGTGTGTTGGGGCAGTCAGATTTGAGCCCTAACCACCCAAACCTCGTTGGCAGTAGACAAAATTCCTGATACATATCAAGTGATTGGGGGTGTGGAGTCTGTCCTCAGGAGGTCAGGAGCCACTATTTTGGGGCCACTTAGATGTTCCAGGCACTTGAGCTCCTGATCTCACCTAAACCATTCCCATGAGATCCACATTTCCCTCATTTTACAAATGAGGAAATAGGCTAGGGAGGTTAAGCAACTGGCCTAAGGTCAGACCTGCAGTAGGGGAGGATTTGAACTCTGGTCCCTTTGGTTCCCATGCTCAAGTGCTCTTTGTCTCAGATGCTCCCAAATGTTCTCTGGTTCTAACATTTGGAGCAAGCCCAGGCTTCTTTGCTGGCACTTAAGACCTGGCACTCGCATTTGGCTTCCCTACAATGAGCCTTGGGCAGGAAGAATATATGTTTGGCGAACTTTAGGCCACCTGAAGGAGCCCTGAATCCAAGTCCCAAATTGTTCAGCTGGGACAGGAGTCAGGATCCCTGGGCCCATTCCCTTGGTTAGCACCTGGGTAGGTAGGTCTCTTAGCATCTGCCCTCTACTAAGCAGGTCCTTGCTAGCCCTGCCCAGGGACCAGCCTTGTGGTGGGGACTCCATCTCCTTTGCTACTTGTTAGCCTGGCCTTCTCCTGCCCCACTTGGCCAGACTTGGGCTGGACCACTAAGGCCCTTTGGCTCGCTGCTGCCCACCCCCAATGCCATGCTTACCAAGGAAGCAGGATGCTGTGCCAGGCACTTGGTAACCATTTACAGGAGAGCCCGTGGAGGGTCAGCTGACAGGGCAGAGCAAAGGTCATCTCTGGGTCCTTCCAGCTTGAGTCCATCTGTGGTGGCAGGCACCCCTCAGTTGATGCATGATGTCCAGGGAGTGGGCTCCTGTGGCCCTCCATCCTGCCCTAGAGCTTTGCCTCATCCTGCCCCTTCTCTGTACCCACAGCGAGGAGCCCCCAGGGGAGGCAGCCCAGGCTGTGGTTGTGAGTGACACCCTCAAGGAAGCTGGCACCCACTACATAATGGCTGCTGACGGGACCCAGCTGCACCACATCGAGGTGAGGCTAGGGGTAGCCACCTCTGCCCTGTCCCCCTAGCTCCCTCCCCTCCCTGGCGCCTCATGCTCCCTGGGCTCTCCACAGCTGACTACAGATGGCTCCATCTCCTTCCCTCCGGATGCTCTGGCCTCTGGAGCCAAGTGGCCCCTGCTGCAGTGTGGAGGGCTGTCCAGAGATGGCCCTGAGCCCCCATCTCCAGCCAAGACCCACCAGGTGGGGGACCCCCAGAGCTCTACCTCCCCACCTCCTGCAGCCAGCAAAGCCCTGGGCCTGGTCGTGCCCTCCTCACCGCCATCTGCAGCCACTGCAGCATCCAAGAAGTTTTCCTGCAAGATCTGTGCCGAGGCCTTCCCTGGCCGAGCAGAGATGGAGAGTCACAAACGGGCCCACGCGGGGCCCAGTGCCTTCAAGTGCCCGGACTGCCCCTTCAGTGCTCGCCAGTGGCCTGAAGTCCGGGTAGGTGTCCCCCACCCCCTTGCCTCTGCTGTCATTCACTGGGCCACTCATTTGTATTACAAACCTTTATTGAGCGCCCCTGAAGCCAGGTCCTCTGCTCCCCTCTAGGGTCAGAGATGACTCAGCAAGGTCCCAGCTCTCAGGGAGCTTGGTCTGATGGGGAGGCAAACCAGACGTTACGCGACTAACGCAGACAGTGTCCCCAACATGAACCAAGCGTGCAGGGCAGGGAGCACAGACACATGGAGAGCAAGTCATTTGGACATGGGGTGCTGGGGAAGATGTCACAGAGGAGGGATGGCTGAGCTGGGCCTGCAGCAGCAAAGGCACAGGTGTGATGGCATGAGGCATGGCTGGGACGATTGGAGCTGTCTAGAACTGAGGGTAGAACGTCACAGTGGGTGGGGAGCCAGTGTGGAGAAGGCAAGTGAGACAGGTGCTGGGGCAGGTCCACAGACCATCCCTGTTTGCCCGAGATTTCCAGTTTTCAGATATGGCCATCTTCCCAGAGCACCATGCTCCCCAAGGGGAGACTGAGGCCCCATTAGGCAGGACTAAGCCCTAGAATATGGGGCTGGATGGGACCTTCAGAGGTCCACTCATCTGACTCTTCTAAGTTACACATGGATAAACTGAGTCTGTGAGCTGGGATGGAATTTTCCCAGGGTCCTGATGGTGGAGCCTGTGGCTTTTCATGCTTAAGCACAACACAGTGGCACCAGACCTTGACCTGGTTTGTGCTGTTTACCCGGCTCCTCATTGGCGCACAGCATTTGGTTTTTCCTCTGCCTGCTTTACCTGGTTCCCTGGCCAGCTGTCTGGAGGGACCAGGGGATTTGTTGCCATCTGTCCTGACCCAGCTGGTGGCCCCCTGCAGGCCCACATGGCACAGCACTCAAGCCTACGGCCCCACCAGTGCAGCCAGTGCAGCTTCGCCTCCAAGAACAAGAAGGACCTGCGACGGCACGTGCTGACCCACACCAAGGAGAAGCCTTTCGCGTGCCACCTCTGCGGGCAGCGGTGAGGCCGGGTGCTGGTGGGCAGGGGCCACTGGGCACCCGTGGTGGAGCTGCCCCGAGCCTTCTTCCGTCCCCCTCAGTTTCAACCGTAACGGGCACCTCAAGTTCCACATCCAGCGGCTGCACAGTCCTGATGGGAGGAAGTCAGGGACCCCTACAGCCCAGGCCCCAACCCGGACTCCCACCCAGACCATCATCCTGAACAGTGATGACGAGACACTGGCCACACTACACAGTGAGCTGTCCCTGGGGCCCCGGGGTGGATCCAGAGGCACCTCTGGTCCAGAGTGTGAGGCCTGGGTGACATCCTCCCCCTCTCCACCCAGCTGCACTCCAGTCCAGTCACGGAGTCCTGGGCCCAGAGCGGCTGCAGCAGGCACTGGGCCAGGAACACATCATCGTGGCCCAGGAACAGACAGTGACTAATCAGGTAAGAGCCAGGACTGGGGGGCCCTGCTGGCAGGTTATGGGCAGGGGTGGGGGCAGACAGAAAACCAAGGCTAGAGCTGGTTTGGCCCTGGCAGGAGGAAGCCACCTACATCCAAGAGATCACCACAGCAGATGGCCAGACAGTACAGCACCTGGTGACCTCTGACAACCAGGTGAGCTGCTGCTGACCCCCCTCAGCCATGACTTTCTGCCCTCCCTCGCTCCCCACCAAGGCCCCTCTTGGGGAGAACAGTACCTTCAAACCACCCCTCCCAGGATCTATGCTTGCCAGCGACAACTGCCATTATTGGTGGTGGGTGTCTCTGGTCCTCCACTCTACCTGCTTAGCTGAGCCCGATGGGGGGGCCCTCAGCACCTGCCTACACCCCACCCTTCCTCAGGTACAGTACATCATTTCCCAGGATGGTGTCCAGCACCTGCTCCCCCAGGAATATGTCGTGGTCCCTGAGGGCCATCACATCCAGGTAGGTGAGGCCTGGAGGTAGGGTGGGGCCTGGGGGAGGGCTGCACAGCCTGCTCCCAGAAAGGATCACGGGCTGGCTTCCTCTCTCCAGGTTCAGGAGGGCCAGATCACACATATCCAGTATGAACAAGGGGCCCCATTCCTTCAGGAATCCCAGGTAGGGCCCAGGGAGACCAGGTAGAGCTGGGGCACGGGCAGGGCTCTTCCAGGCTCACATCTCATCAGCTTCTTCCCTCCAGATCCAGTATGTGCCTGTGTCCCCAGGCCAGCAGATTGTCACACAGGCTCAACTGGAGGCTGCAGCACACTCAGCTGTCACAGGTATGGGGCTGGACCCTGAGGACCATGGGGGCCAGGCCAGCCCCCAGGCCTCAGGCTCACCATGCTTTCCCCTCCCTGGCAGCAGTGGCTGACGCTGCCATGGCCCAAGCCCAGGGCCTGTTTGGCACAGAGGAGGCAGTGCCTGAGCACATTCAGCAGCTGCAACACCAAGGCATCGAGTACGACGTCATCACCCTGAACGATGACTGAGCCCCAAGGGCCCAACGCAGATCGTGGATATTGGGGCCAGCCCTCCTGGGGGTGGGGGGGACCCACCAGGACTCACCTCCCTCTTCCACTAGGGGCTCCAGATACTGGGCAGCCAGCAACCTGTCACTCCAAGGGAGCTAGACCTGTGCTGCTGAGGTTGTGGGGCAGCCATGGACCCCAGCCAGGACATGCTGGTGCCCCAGCCTGCAGGCAGGCTTTGGGAGAGAGATTTATTTTTGTTTGGATGGACCCACTGGCCTCTCAGTCTCAATAAAGGGACCAGAGTCCAGCCCTAGCCAGCTTGCTTTGTCCACTTGCTGCTGCAGCCTGAACCAGGCCAGGACCTGGGAAGCAGAAAGGATGAGCCTGTCTGCAGCCCCCGCAGGTGGGCTGTGAGACGGAGGCTGTCGGGCTCCGCGGAGCATCCTGCCCTGCCTCTGTAAGTACAGTGGTCCAGCAGCAGAGCAGACCCTTGGTGCAGACGCCTGGCAGGAAGGGGTGGCTTGGCTGGGGAGAGCCCACCACATAACTTCAGACCCTGATCCCTGCTGGCCTCAGGGAGCAGATGCTCCGTGCCTGCAGGTGCTACACGGAGACCCTTGTGGCTCTCAGGCTGCTCTTCTCCTGAGCCTCAACTATGAAACACACCCAGCCTCCATATGAAACAACACTCCCTATGGTGGCTTTGGGCACAGGACACGGCTGCCAGTCCTGTCCCCCAGAGGCCTCTGTGCAGGCCCAGCTGCGGGAGTCTAGAGCTAGGTGATGCAGGGTCCTGGACTCCTGAGACCTGCTGGGCACAGGCACAGGCCACAGGGACCCAGCTGGGGGGACCCTGGGATCGAGTGTGAAGGCCCAGGCGTCTCTGAGGAGAGCCTGGATGTAGAGGGGTGTGGTCCCGGAAGTAGCCCCAGGTTCCTCAGCCTTCTCTGCCTTCAAGACCCTCACACATGCTTGGAGGGGGTTTCTGTATTTCCTTTTACAAATGAAACAAGGTGGGAACGGGGTAGGGCTGGGAAGGCATGGGGCCTATTTACAGGGGACTTGGAGTGAGTCTGAGGTGGGGAGTTGGGAGATAAAGGCAGGGAGGGGGAGCCCTAGCAGAGCCATCATCTTCCTATGTCAGTGGCAGCTGGGGTACTGCTGCCACCCAGAAGGACGGCCCTGGGGTCCACTCAGTTCCCACAGGCCCGAGTCCCAGCAGTCTGTACCAGCGCCCTAGGGGCTCCTCCTCCCCGCAGGATGTGTTAAGTGGGGTGAGGCTCTCGGCTAGGGCCCTGCTCACGGCCAGAGTCCCGGTCCTTGGCCTCCGAGGAGGATGATGAGGAAGAGCCAGAGCCATGGGTGCGGCCTGACTGCCGGTAGGCGGCGCTCAGCTCCTGCAGCCGCTCAGGCGTCGGCCCCCACTTGGCAAAGCCAGGCTCGTTCTGTAGGAAGAGCACGGCTGTGTTGTGGACAGCCTTGTAGTGCATTTCCTCCCTGCGGGCAAAGGCAGTTGCTCAGGGTGGGGCTTGGCCTGGCCTGACCAGCCCCACCTGGTCATCCCGGCCCACCTTCCCCTGCCCTCCCCAGCACCCACTTCTTGCAGATGTGCTGGGAGCCACTGCGGTACTCGTGCTCGAAGGCAGGCAGGACCAGCTGGTGGCGTTTGAAGCGGCTCTGCTCCATGCGGGTGAGCGCTGGCGTGGGGGGTTCCCGCCACTCGGGGATGAACACGATGAAGGACAGTGGCTCCAGTGAGCCCTCGAGCAGTTTCTGTGGGAGAGAGCACAGGGTGACATCAAGGGCTGTCCAAAGGTGGCTGACCATCCTGCCTGTCCCCCACCCCAGCAGCACTAGCACACCCACCTCGAAATGAGAGACCATAGCATCCATGAGCTCCTCGCAGAATGGAGGGTTGGCCTCAAAGGAACCACTCAGTGGGGCGAAGTCTAGGCAGGGCCTGGCGACAGGAGTGAGCA